GGTCCGTTTTCTTTTCTACCGACTTCAAAAAGGAGACGGTACTTAATTCGACTGTTTGTTTTTTTATGTGTGTTACCTCATAACTTTTTACTGGGTGAACCGATTTCGATGATTCTTTTTTTATTTGGAAGCTGGTGCTTCACATATGATTTCGTATAATTTTGATCAAGGTCTGACCAATAGTTTTAGAGTTATTTTTAATAATTAATATTGAAGTCGGTTGTACAAAATTTTTAATTTTTAATTATTTATCATCTTAAAAGGTCCTTGTTGAACTCGGAGGTATGTCACAGAAGTACCTCTATTTGCCAAAGGAAGGTTTCTGTACTAATCCTGTTAGGTGGAAGCAATTACAGTTAGACCTTTTCTATAGCCGACTCTTCTTACAACCACGGAGAGAAATGGGGTTGTGGATTTTCTTATTACACCCTCTCACTATAGCTGCACATTTTTTTAAGTATTCTGTTCAGCATAACTGTTAATTAAAATTAAATATTTATTACAATAATCATTACTAAGTTACTATTAGGGGTATTAAACCTGATTATTTAATCAGCCATTGTCGGTCACAAAGCTATGTTTGTCAATTGTCGAATCGTAATGCAAGTTAGTTACTGCGCTTTTCTCTAGTTCTTAGACACCAAGTAAAGGCTTCATACCACCACTACTTTTTCATATAACAGACTTGCATCTAGAGTGGGTTGGTACATATTCGGACGGATGGGAATACCATTGACACTTTCTTAAGGTCTTTTAAATAAGGAGGACGGATTCGAACGCTAGAATTTTACGGTCGTTGTTCTAACCCAATATATTAGAATATTGTAACGTTAATTTTTTTAATTATCTTCTTTTATTTTATTATACATGACATTTTAATCAGTAAAACTATGTTTTTTGCAGATTGCGAAAATATTTTAAATTAAAATTTTAAATAACAAACTCGATTACTCTTGGCACTATTATCGGTGTAATTTATTTTGTATTGTCACACAATGTTGGCGTTGCTCGTAGCATTAGATATTGGCATTGTGGCTGCTATTGCTCCTGGAAGTGGTCCAAATTGAACAGACGCGCTTTATTATGAACGCTCATTCTGCGATATCGTCAACTTAATTTTGTTATTATTATTTGTAATTATTTTTTTACATTTTTAATTTAAGTTGATTATTATTGAATACCTCAAAAATAAAAAACGTAAAGGTATTTTAAAATATAAACGTGTGTTATGTCTGTTATATATCATTTCATATCTATCACATCGCATCACTACTACATTAGACCACTCTTCTATATGGAAGCAAATTCAATTCTAGTTTCTTTATGGTCCATCTACCTCCAGGCAGAAAATGTATTTAATCATTTATTTAACTTGTAATGCTGCTCTACAGAGAGAGAGAGAGAGAGAGAGATAACATGGGCACACGTGATCCCATATTCGAATCCCATATCGGGCCAAAATCAGTTATTGGGTTTTTCGGTTGATGGTGTTTCACGGCCGTGCCTAGGAAGACATGAAAAGTCGTTGGTATTGCGCATGATCTCTCTCCAGTCTTTTTTGCAGATTGCCATTCCACTGGAATATGAGAGTGAGAGAATAAGGAGAGCACTTGTACTTGCACTCACACTTATGCACTATAATCACTGTCTCCGAACTTTCGTTTCTGTTAAATAATCCATCGTGATGGAACTTTGATCTAGACTACATTAATATTACTCTCCATCGCCTGTGTAAGATCTGGTTTCGGAATTTTTTATTAATTGTCCCCCATTAGTCTCGGCCACCTATGTGCAGAACAGAGGTAGCATTTAACAGAGCAGAAAAAGTTTGTATATGCCTAAATTTGGCTACAAACTATCGACAAATTCAAAAGTAATGCTTAAAACATTTACAGCACCAGAAAGCACAATTTAAAAAATGACAGGAATTTATCGGACAACTGACTGATCATCACAAATGTCTATTCAAATAATGATCATTGATCATACGGAAAGTGTCGTCTAAGAAAGTCAAAAAGTGTAGGTTATCGTTTAAGATATAACCTTTTATATATAAATTCGATGTTTCCTTTTGTCGGATTATGTCAATTTTTTTTTGTAAAAGGGTTTAATATGAAAGAACACATTTTAAATTTGTAAAAGTATTGCAAGTCCTACTTTAATTTTCACAGAGAATTATTCTAACTCAGGGACTAAGCGCTCGCTGTAAATTTCATATACTCTAGTAACTTGATTTTAATCACGGTACAAATAAATTTGTTAGTTGCAATTTTTAAGTGCAATATTTAATTTAAAATTTTAACAGCTTATTTTCATAGTAGAAGTAATACATCTTGAGGAAACTTACATTTTTGAGAAATAAAATTGCAGACATATGAAGTCCGACAACACGCACTTGAGCAGTGCGGCGGACATTTTTTTATAGGATAGGGTGACAAACGAGCACACAGTCCACCTGATGGTAAGTGGTTGCTGTGACCCATAGACAGCAGATTTACAGCAGATGTGTTGTCACCCGTGAGGACAAAGATAGAATGCCTCTTTTCCAGTAAAAAGGGTCTCTGGTTCTGTACACTCACCATACGAAACACATCAGTGTTAAGCTGCTATTTTACGCTGGTATTTTGTGAGAGCGTGGTCCTTCCCAGGGCGAGCCGACCCATTCGTGCTACAACTATATTACTAATATAGCTGCAACATGGCTCTACCACGTAAAAGTTCTTGCTCTAAAATCTCTCAGAAACGAAAGGTCTGGCAGCACCCAATAGTGCAGGCTGTACCTATAGTTTACTACCTTATTATGTTATTATACTATTCGCTTATTAGTATACTACGTTATTAAAAACTGTAATCAGCAAATTATACTATTATTTTTTTAATCACTGCCAATGTAAAGATCTTGTCGATTCACCAATAATGTAAAAACTTCACTAAGTTATATTTAATACCCATGTTAGTAAATGTACAAAACGAGGGCATACCTACGTCTTCGTTTACACGTAACCATAGCAACATGTCCCCTATAACCAAAGAAAGATTTCGACGTACTTCTTTTGACTACAAGCTATATAATGAATATAATGTTTGGGCACCAGACTCGTAAAGGAAAAAAACTTGGATCCAATACCGACACCAATTAGGATTTCCATGATCTACATAGTAGGCAGGTAAGTAAATCATTTACGGAGGCCAACGTATATAAAACTTTACACAGGTACACAAAAACCATATAATGAACCAAGGATGATCCCCTTGGGGTGCGAAGTCAGAAGTCCTCCACGTGTGCCTGGTAGTTGCGGGTCCCTCTCGATACGTCTGGAGGGAAGAGCAGATACTGGGCCGGTGCACCCTGGGCGCGGCAGTAATCTTCCTCGAGAAATGAGAAGAAATTCTTACTCCTTGGGGAATGGTGCTGCCGCGGCTAATTATTCTGACATGGGGGGGGGGGTCCGTTCCGGACCAACGGTGCGTTCCACTGCGTGACCCTCTGATCAGCAGAGGGCATAGCAGAGGAGTGAGGGCGGGCTCGGTGTGCACTTACCCTGCCTCCGGGCAGACAGTGAAGGATTCATCCTTTGCTGTCACCGCCGGTCTCGTAATCCCAGTATCGAAGTGTCGTGGATCACGTCTCGCGGCTTTGATAGGGACCGAGGGTCTTGGCTTAACCGCCCGGACCGCGAGGGAGAAAACCTCTATAAAAAGTTACCCCGAATCTCAAGCGGCGACGCACCGCGAGGGGATGGATGGCTGACGGGGTTCTATGAACAAATCAGTCGTGAGTGCGCTCCTCGCCAGGGTACCTGCAGACCCCCTGGCGAGTAATAAATCCTTTAAATCTGCTTACCTTGGTAAGGGGTCTCTGCCAAGGTGGACTTTTAATTCCCCCATACTCGTGGGTATAAAAATGGAAAAAAAAGACAAACAAAAAACAAAAACCGCCGGCAACGGCAACGTAGAGGAGAGGAGAAACGATGCGGGGACAGAGTCCGACGCCGCATCTAACAGCGAGGGAGGCTCAGAGAGCTCCCGACAAGTGGAGCTTGGGACCGCGGAGACCAGCAAGTTCTTCCGCAAGCGGTCCAGGCGGGATGGCGACCAGGGGTCGGCATCCGGTGAAGAGGAGGTTTCGGCCCGGAAAATCCCCACCAACAGGCGGGGCGGGCTGAGAGGCAAGGGGAGGGAGCTCTCTACAAATCAGAGGGCCGAACAAGAGGCAAAGCTTGCCGAGGAGGGGCGCCACCCGGACGATACGGCTCGGGAATCAGGCGAAGAAACAGATGCGACTGGCGGCTCCGAGGTGGAGCGTAAGGCCAGATTCGTAAAGGAGGTGGAGGCCGCGATCAAGGTCGTGGCCATTAAGCAAAAGTCCTCCTCGAAATTCAAGGCCATTCCCGCGGCCTCCGCCTCCATCATGGCGGCTGCGGAGGCCAACTTTGCTGGGGCTGGGCCTAATGCGGACGAGGTGGCGAAGCTGCGGGCGGACGTGGCCCGCCTGACGTCCGCCATGGAGACTCTCCAGAAGGAGAATGAGAAGCTCCGCGCAGACCTGGCCAGTCTATATGAGCCTGCCTCTCGCGCGGCGCCCCAGACGCAGCGCCCAAGCCAGCCCGTGCCGGTGGAGAACCAGGTTCTGAACCTGGTCCGGCAGGAGCTGGCTGCCTTCCAGCACCGGTTCTCCGTGCTGGAGGGCATCGTCCTGCGCCCCCCCCTAGGGGCAAACAAGACGGCGGCGAGGCCGGCAACGGCTTCTTACGCGACGGCCACGGCTGCCGCATCCAGGCCGGGCCGTCCAGCCAGCTCTCGGGTGGGGCTGCAGTTGCCCCTCCCCCCCCTGAAAAGCCGGCTCCGGCAAAACGGATACCGGCTGAACCGGTTCCGGCTAAGCCGGCGACGGGAAAGAGAGGCAAGGCGAAGGCGAAAAAGGGCAAGGCGGCAGCACAGGTGATGGCAGCGCCAGCCCCAGTGCCTGCGGCGAATGGGCCAGCGCCAGCGCAAGCCAGCTGCCGCCGCCGCCACCGCCCCCTCAGCTCCCTACACCTCCCGCGGCAGAAGCCGGTTGGCAGGTGGTCGGGGACAAAAAGAAGGGGAAGAAGGCAGCCAAAAAGGCCAAAGAGCAGGAGCGGCAGCACCAGTTCAGGGCGCGCAAGATCGCGGCTAGGCTCCGCGCCCCGAAGACCGCAGCTGTAGTGATTACACTACAGCCGGACGCGGAAAAGAAGGGCGTTACCTACCGCGATCTGCTCGCGAAGGCGAAAGAGGCGGTGGATCTCGGGGAGCTCGGGATCACTGGGGGCCTCCGGCTCAAAGTCACCCAGACGGGGGCCCGTATGCTGGAGATCCCCGGGGAATCCAGTGGCGCGACTGCAGACGCTCTGGCTGCGAAGCTCAGAGCGTCCCTGAACGCGGACGAGGCCCGAGTGTCCAGGCCCGTTAGATGCGCAGACCTGCGCATCATGGGTCTGGACGACTCGGTATCGGAGGAGGAGTTGGTGGCCGCCGTCGCCAGGTCCGGGGGGTGCACTACTGACCAGATCAGGTCAGGCGCCATACGCCCGGATCAACGGGGTATGCATGCCGCCACGGTGTGCTGCCCTGTTACGGCGGCCAAAACCATAGTGGAGGGCCGAAGGCTTCTGGTGGGCTGGGTCTCAGCGCAGGTTAAGCTGCTGGAGCCCAGACCTCTGAGGTGCTACCGCTGTCTAGTGGGGCATCACGTATCAGTGAAATGCGCCTCGGAGGTTGACCGCAGTGGCCTCTGCTTCCGCTGCTGTCAGCCCGGACACATATCGGCGACCTGCTGCGCCACGCCGCACTGTGATGCATGTGCGGCGACCGGCAAGCCAGCCGATCACTGGGCCGGAAGCAGGGCCTGCGTGTCACCCGCCAAGGCCAAGGCCGCGGGTAGGGGAAGGCCCTCCTCCGCCGCCACCGCCTCTATGGCCACCGCCGCATCTGCAACTGCCGCCGCCGCCGCTGTCACTGTCGCCGCCGCCGCGGCCGCGACACCGACGCCTGCAGAGGGGCGCCCCGTGGAGGAAGCTGAAATGGAATGCCTATAACGGCCCCATTAAGCTTCCTCCAGGCGAATATCAACCACTGAGCCTGCGCTCAGGATCTGTTGCTCCAGAGCATGGCGCAGTGGTCGATTAACATCGCTGTGGTCGCTGAGCCGTATTTTGTCTGGCCTAGGAAGGACTGGGTGGCGGACCTTAACGGCTCAGTGGCCATCATTTCTTCGGCCGCCGCCGGTACCCCGACCCATGAAGGTGTCAGGAGGGGTCAGGGGTGTGTAGCAGCACGGTTCGGGGAGTTCGTCGTTGTGGGGGTGTACTTCTCCCCGAACCGATCTCTCGCCGAGCTCCACAACTCTCTTGCAGAGCTGAGAGCAGTCGTCGTCGGAAGCTATCCCCTCCCCGTGCTTGTCCTCGGGGACTTCAATGCCAAGAACTTGGCTTGGGGTTCTCGTCGTACAGATGTGCGGGGTAGGATGGTGGAAGACTGGGCTCTGGAGACAGGCCTGGTCGTCCTAAATCGGGGTTCTGTCCCCACGTGTGTGCGGATGCGGGGCGAGTCGGTGGTGGACATTTCGTTCGCTAGCCCCGCTCTGTCGCCGCGTGCCATTGACTGGCGAGTCATGGAGGGGGTGGAGACCTACTCCGACCACCGGTACATCCGGTTTGACGTCTCCACCCAGCCCTCGAGCGCGCCAGTCCAACAGGCCCCGAGTGGTCCGCGTTGGGCGCTGAAGCAGCTGGACCGGGAGCTCTTCCTGGAAGCCTCGATCGTGCAGGCCTGGGTGTCATCACCGGATAGGCCTGCCGACGTCAATGATGAGGCAGGGTGGTTCCAGGAGGCCATGTCCGAGATATGTGACGTGGCAATGCCCCGCGTCCGGCCAGGAAGCGCCCGGCGTCAGGTGTATTGGTGGTCGCGTGAGCTGACGTCTCTGCGCGAGGCGTGTGTCGCCGCGCGACACCTGTACGCCAGGCATCGCAGGCTCCGCATTCGTCCACCGAATGCGGCATCCATTGAGGCGGAGCTGTACGAGGGATACAGAGCGGCGAAGACCGCCCTCCGGGAGGCTGTCATGCGGGCCCGGGATCGGGCCCGTGAGGAGATGCTGGAGACTCTCGACAGAGATCCGTGGGGGCGCCCTTACAAGATGGTGCGGGATAAACTCCGCACCTGGGCCCCCCCGCTGACGCAGAGTCTCCGGCCTCAGCTCGTGGAGGACGTGGTGAGCGCTCTGTTTCCTGCGCGAGGGGAACATCCGCCCCCGCCTATGGCTCCGCCACCTGCGGTGCCGGAAGCGGACCACCAGGACGACGACGACGGCATCCCGGAAGGGACCGGGGTAGACCTGAGAGTGGCGGTACGTAGGCTCAAGGCCAGGAATACCGCCCCAGGACCCGATGGCTTGCCTGGCAAAGCCTGGGTCCTGGCCGCGGAGGCTCTCGGGCCCCGACTGGAGGGGCTCCTAAGCGCATGCTTGGAGAGAGGCCAATTCCCGCTTCGTTGGAAGACGGGGAAGCTGGTCCTCATTCGGAAGCCGGGGCGCCCTGCGGACTCTCCGTCCGCATACCGGCCCGTGGTGCTGCTCGACGAGGTGGGCAAGCTCTTTGAAAGAGTCATTGCAAACCGCCTCGCCGAGCACCTTGCGAGGACGGGGCCGGATCTTGCGGAACACCAGTTTGGTTTCCGCAAGAGGCGCTCTACGGTGGACGCCATCATGCGCGTGAGAGCCCTCACGACGGGGGATGCAGTGGCCAGGGGGGGGGTTGTTTTGGCGGTGTCTCTCGACATCGCCAACGCCTTCAACTCCATGCCCTGGAGGTGCATTAGGGAGGCACTCCGGTATCACCGGGTGCCGACCTATCTCCGTCGTATAGTCGGGGATTATCTGACGGATAGGGCCGTCATCTACCCCGGTCGCAACGGTGAGTGGAACCGGCGAGAGATGTCGTGCGGTGTCCCACAAGGTTCGGTTCTGGGGCCGCCCCTGTGGAACATCGGTTACGACTGGGTGCTGCGCGCCGACCTCCCTACCGGCGTCAGCGTAGTTTGCTACGCTGACGACACGCTGGTACTGGCACAGGGGGGGTCGTACGAGGCGGCGGCGGAAAACATGACACGCGGGGTTGCGATAGTCGTTGAGAGGATCCGGCAGCTGGGTCTTGAGGTGGCTCTGCACAAGTCCGAGGCCATGCACTTCCATGGTCCTCGGAACAGGCCACCACCGGGATCCCCAGCGATGGTAGGAGGGGTATCCATCGGCGTCGAGTCGACGTTGAAGTACCTAGGACTCGTCCTCGACGGCCGATGGAACTTCGTTGAGCACTTCCGACGTTTGGCTCCCAAACTGGAACGGACCGGGGCTGCCTTCAGGCGGCTCCTGCCGAACCTGGGGGGGCCAAACGCCTCCTGCCGGAGGCTCTACGCGGGGATTGTGCGGTCCATGGCCCTTTACGGTGCCCCGGTGTGGGCGCGTGGTTTGGCGCGGCTTGCCGTCCACCACCTGAACGCGCCCCAAAAGGTGGTTGCCGTAAGGATGGTTCGCGGCTACCGCACGATCTCCCGCGAGGCAGCGTGCCTCCTTGCCGCCATGGGATCTGGAGGCGATAGTCCTCGCGCGCCTGCACGAATGGCGCGCTGAGGCACTATGCCGGGGGGAAACCCCGCTGCCGCGGCAAGTTGTCGTGCAGCGGACAGACTTCCGGCATGATCTCATGGCGACATGGAGAGAGCGACTGTCGCAACCCCGTGCTGGGCACGCCACTATAGCGGCGATAAGACCCCTCTTTGAGGAGTGGCTTGAGAGACGCCACGGCGTCCTCACCTTCCGCCTGACGCAGGTCCTCACCGGACACGGTGTGTTCGGGAGGTTCCTGCACCGAATCGGGCGGGAGGAAACGCCCGGGTGCTCCCACTGCGAGGATCGACCGGAGGACACGGTGGAGCACACCGTGGAGGTGTGCCCTGCCTGGGCGGAGCAACGCCGTGTCCTCGTAGCGGCGATAGGCGGCGGCGACCTCTCGCGTCCGGCCCTGGTCGAAGCCATGGTCCGGAGCGAGACGGAATGGGATGCCGTCACCACCTTCTGCGAAGCAGTGATGCTAGCGAAGGAGGTGGCGGAGCGGGAGAAGGAGAGAGCAACAGCTTTCCTTCCCGGCCGCCGCGGGAGACGCCCCGGGCGTCGGGGGCTACGTCGTGGCCCCCGGCCACCGTAGGCGCGGGCCTGTGGACGGCGAGCAATGGGTAGCTCGCCGTCCGCCCGTCTAACGACGACAGGCCGTGTCGACGGCGCGTTTTGTTCCACGCGCGCCTCAAAGAGCTGTCAGCAGCGTGAAGGGGCCCGCAAGGGCCGACGCCTGCCGGGGCTGCGGGATGTTCGAAAGAGATACCGCGGCTCCGGAACCTAAGGGCACTGAAGGAACACGGATGGTTTTTAGTCAGTAAAAGTCTGACACTCCCTTCCGCTCCACCCAGAGCGAAAGGCGTCATTTGATGATTTTCCATCCGCAAAAAAAAAAAAAAAAAAAAAGGATGATCCCCTTCGGGAACTCTAAAAGCAAAACTTTCCATGTTTATAATGAATTGCTTTGTTGTCACGCATTTTCCTTCGATTTAACATGTTCCACCAATAGAAAACGCAAGAAAGTATTAGGGAGCGAGTGCCTGCTTTATATCCGCAATTGTGTAAACTTACAAAGTTGGAGTAAAAAGTTCTGACAATTTTTGTGTTTACTAATTACTTACGTTTATATATGTATATAAATTTTATAGATCTACAACCGTATTATGTCTCGTTGATTTGACTTTATCCTTACAGTTCACTCACTTTTCAACATAATGATGTCTTAAAATAATTACTTATGGTTAGTTTTTATATTTGATGAATATTTCGTATTCTTTCTTCGGCGCAAAGTGCTTTAAAATGATTTATTGTTACAATAACAGAAAACTGGCATCAACTAATATCTCAACAATTCATTTTTTTTTGTAAAACTGCAATGATAATCGAATCACTCACAGTCCACCAGATGGAAAGGGGATACTATAGTCAATGGATTTCTGTAGATAGCTTCATACGATGAACGCTACAGATTCCAGCTGCGTCGTTACTTATTAGGGCTAAGATGGAATGCCTCATAGTCTGTAATTATATTCGCACTCTATACCCGTCAAATTGGAACATAGCAGTGCAGCTATTTTTTACCACTCTCCTACCAAAAATAGGTAGTGGGCGGTATTTACTCAGATGACTCCTAAACAGAAAGTCCTACCACCTAGTAAAGTTAAACTGTACCGTTTTGAATTATTAAAAACATACCGAGCTTGAATCCTACATACGGATTATCATCATCATCATCATCATTACAGCCTTTCACAAGTCCACTGCTTAAAATAGGCCTCACCCAAGGAATACCACAAAGCACAGTCGTGAGCCACCTGCATCCATCGGCTTCCTGCATGTCTTACCAGGTCGTCACTTAATCTCTTGGGGTTGCCCTACACTTCGCCCACTGGTACGAGGTTACCACTCAAGAACCTTTCTTCCCCATCGGTTGTCGGTTCTTCGAGCTATATGGCCGGCCCACTGCCACTTCATCTTAATAATCCGTTGGGCTATGTCGGTTACTCTGGTTCTACTGCGGATATACTCATTTCTAAGTTTATCACGCAGAGAAACCCCGAGCATAGCCCTCTCCATAGCTCGCTGAGCGACCTTGAGCTTCCTCATACGGCCAGCAGTGAAGGACTACGTCTCAGATCCGTAAGTCATCACTGGCAACACGCACTGATTGTACAATTTCGTTTTAAGGTGTTGAGGTATGTCTGATGAGAAGATGGGTCGTAGTTTCCCGAACGCTGCCCAGCCGAGTTGAATTCGTCGATTGACCTCTCGGTTGAAGTTGGACTTACCTAGTCGGACTATTTGTCCCAGGTAATCATACTCGTCAACAACCTCGAGCTTAGTGCTCCCAACAACTACCGGCATAGGTGTGACATGATGGAGTATAGGAAACAATATTGCAATTGTGTGAGCTCTATACTCAGC